AGCATCTTTGTAGCCCTCCACTGGACTCTGTCCAGTAGTTCCCTGTCCTTCTTGAACTGGGGAACCCAGTGTGGCCCCACCAGGACAGAGCAGAGTGGGAGGATGACCTCCCTTGACCTGCTGGCCATGCTCTTTTTAATGCACCCCAGGAGACCACTGGCCTTCTTGGCCACCAGGGCACATTGCTGGCTCATGGCAGATCAGTTCAAGCACGTGCCATTTCATACACAATCCAACCAAAAGTACTAAACAGTGTTTTTCTGATCATTCCAAATCTACCATCATCTAGAAACATTTACGTCCATGTGAGCTCAGCGGTGTGAATTTGAATAGCAATTCTGCTTTGTCCTTGTAACATCTGGACTCCCAGGTCATGGCTCATTTTCAGTGCCCTGAGGGGTCATTTAAATTCATCTCTAGTATCAGTATGGTTTTTTTATTTTTTTTTTTTTGACTGTACAGTTTTTTCTATTAATTTGGTTTTAGTTAAAGCAGAAATACTCATTAAGGCATATAATGAAGGCAATAACATTGCTAAAGAAGGAGAAATAAGAGATAAAATAAGAGAGCTACAAAAACCTACCTAATAGGAAAAATATGAGATAGAAACACCAAAGCAAAACCCCAAGAGAGCATGGAGCAAGAGCAGCACACAGAGTTAGCAGGGAACTCCAAGAGCTTAAACCAGCTATGAATTTGGCTGCTTGTCTTGAGAACATATTTCTCCAGAGTGTCATCGGCTTTTTTGTTTGGTCCATACCAAGCAAACTAGCAATGAGATGATGTTATTTTTTAAAAGCAGGTCCTGCTAACACATATTTTGCTAAGAATAGGTGCAGCCTGCAAAGAAGCCAATGTTTCCTTAACCTTCTCAAGGCATATCTGTCTGCTTGACCTGGGCTTCTCACTTGCCTACATTTCCTCTTGCCGATTCCTGACCTTCTCATGGGCACTCCATTTATTATTCCAGAGGCAAATTTTCCCTCTGCCTAACAAAAATGTTCCAGTGAGATTAAGAATATGGAGAATCCTTCCAAAGGGGAGCTATCTAAAGTTGCATGGACAAGCTTTCACCATCTCATGCCTTTGATCATCTTACTAGTTACTGTGCTTTCCAAGTTTCCTTTCTACCTCCGCATTTCTGAAGTTCTCTTTCAGGTCTCAAATGTGACTACCATGTTAGTGGTCATCCAAAATCAGTTCAGGTCAGAGAGGAATAAAGCGGCCTCAGCACCAGTCTGTTTTTCCAGTCTCTGTCTTATTTTGTTTGCAACCTTTAACCTTTTCATACAGTATCTGATTACTGTATTCAAGGACTCAGATGAACATTGCTTGGCCCAGACCCATCGATGGAGACCTGTACGCTGTTCTTACTAACTTTATATACGGCCTCGGGACATTTCCAAAGCCTTCAGGAAATTCAAGTCTGTTATTCGTGTTCCTCACATCCTCTTTGCTCTTTGATTTGGCAAAAATGACAAACTCTTTTAATCATTTAGGCTGGAGAAGACCCTTGAGATCATTGAGTCCAACTTTCAACCAAACACTGCCAACTCCACCGCTAAACCATGTCCCTCAGCACCACATCTACCCATCTGTTAACTACCTCCAGGGATGGCAACTCCACCACTTCCCTGGGCAGCCTGTCCCAATGCTTGACAACCCTTTCGGTGAAGAAATTTTTCTTAATATTCAGCCTAAACCTGCCCTGGCACAAAGGTTTACACTTGGGCGGTATTTCCTAACCTCTTTTACATCTCACCTTTCAGCACATGGCTTGTGATTTTATCCCTGCTCTAGACACTAGAATCCAGCACATTTCCAAATCAGAGTAATCAACTCTTGGTTTTCCTTAATTGTGAGAGTGACGCTCTGCCCTATAGCCACTCCTTTGAGATTTATGTCTGATTCACTACATCTCATTTAGGAACAGCTAAAAAATCTTTTTTTTTTTTTTTTTT